AGTAACTTGTCCAAGGTTCATCAGCAGAAACTGGGGCATCCAGGATGAAAACCCAGGTCTAAAACTCATTCCCTTCCTGCACTCGTAACTGGTACATTTATTTAAAGTAGAAGCATTTCTTCCACCTCAAGAAAAAACTGTCACTCAGTCAATGATGCATAGTAAACAGGTGGCCTCTTAAAATTGCGCAATCAGAACAGAAAGGCCCCTGTTTGTGATTCGCGTTCGAGGTATTAGGATGCAGGAAAGCATCTTTACTTTCTGGCCAAGTAGCCACGACACATCGCCTGGAAGGCCATGATGACATCGGTGATCTTCAAATCTCGTTCCTCCTCCAGGTGGGCCAGGACCCCAGTTCGGAAGAAGATTTTGCTCTGCCCTATCCTGTATAAGTTGGGGTCAAGTTCCAGGGCTTTGATCTGCAAAAGGAAGGAAAAGAAGAGCTCCTGATTTCTGCTGTGCCATTTGGCGAGCGATGACATGGGTAAGAATGGTCCCGCCAAGAGCAGCAGGTGGCTTGCGGCCAGAGGCTGGGCGGTCTCTGGTGGACTTCTGGGCTCACCATGAGAATGCAGGCCTGCTTCCCGTCCATGAAGCCTTTGGGGATGGCATTCGCCGCCAGGATCTCGTAGCTTGAAACACAGAGCAGAAGTCACCCCGTGTACCTCCAGCATCCATTCCTCTGCCCAGTCCCGCTCACCCCCTGCCCTACCTGGGCCAGACCTTGGGACTTACCGTTGGCGGAACTCCTGGAAGACGATCCGGTTGGGGAAGCCCTGCCGGCAGATGCGAATGCCTTCCAGCACCCCATTGCACCGCAGCTGCTCCAGCACCAGGAACGCATCCAGCTTGCCAGACTGCAAAGGCCAAAGAGGGCAGTGGATCCCTGGGGCCAGGACCCACGGTGCAGCAAAGCCCCAAACCTCCTACCTGGATGACCCACCTGGCCAGGCCACGAGGGTACCAACAGAAGCACCCAGGGAGAGCTCAGCTGAGGGCCGAGGGGCAAAGCAGTGCCCCCTCTCTGGGTTTTCATCTCTTTGCTTTGGCACTGGCTGCCTCATGATCTCTCTGGTTCTTGATGACACTAGCATCACCTGGCTGAACTTGGGGCTTCCTCCTCATCACCTCCTCTCCCTCACTTCCTGTCCATCAGCAGTTTGATTGGTTCTAGCTCCCAAATATCTCCCAACCCCCTACCAACTTCTCTTCACCACCATTGTCTCCACTATCTTCTCCTGCCTGGACAACCACAGAAACCACCCACCTGGTCTTCTCTCTCCAGTCTTGCCTCTCCCCTCAATCCCCTCATTCGCTTTCCTTTGTTCTTTTTGTTTTTTATTTTTTGAGATAGGGTCCCATTCTGTCACTCAGGCTGGAGTCCAGTGGCGCGATCATGGCTCACTGCAGCCTCAAACTCCTGGGCTCAAGTGATCCTCCCAAATCAGCCTCCCAAGTATTTGGGACCACAGCATGTGCTACCATGCCTGGATAATTTTTTAAAATGTTTTTGTAGATACAGGGTCTTGCTATGTTGCCCAGGCTAGCCTTGAACACCTGGTCTCAAGTGATCCTCCCACCTCAACCTCCCAAAGTGCTGGGATTACAGGCATGAGCCAGCATATGTCCAGTCCCCTCATTCACTTCCTAAAATGTAAATCGGACCATGCCATTGCCCTGCTTAAACACCCCCAGTGGCATCCCTAGAGAGAGAAGGCCAAGCTCCAAAAAGAATACAAGGAGCACCACGATCTAGCCCCTGCCTACCCATTCAGCCTCATTCCTACCTCACACACCGTCTGATTCCTACCTCACGCCCTCACACATCTGCAACATGAAATGACCTATGTAGGATTTTCTTTTTTTTAAAGATGGAATCTCTGCTGGCCAGGCTGGAATGCAGTGGTGTAATCTCAGCTCACTGCAACCTCTGCCTCCTGGATTCAAGAGATTTTTCTCAGCCTCCTGAGTAGCTGGGATTACAGGCATGAGCCATACACCTGCCAGTATCTAGCATTTTCTTACCTAGATCCTTCATTTCTCACCTCCACACTCTTGCTTATCCTGGGCCCTCTGCTAGCGTGCCCTCCCCACCCTGCCTTCCATGTCACCAAGTTGATGGCTACACATTCTTAAAGTTCAAGTTCACCAGAAGCTTTCTCTGAGTCCTGAGGCTGTGGGAGGAGCCCTGGCTCTTTGGTGTTCTTGTAATTGACCACATTCCATCACCATCATCGGCTGTGTGTTTACCTCTCCCCGTACAGCACTAGTGGCATCTTGGAGGGATTCTGTGCGGGGGGTTGAGGGACTGTCCTGTGCATTGTACAATGCTTAGCGCATCCCTGGCCTCTACCTGCTAGATGCTGACTAGCAGCCCCCTCCTGGTTGTGACAACCAAAAATGTCTGTAGACATGTCCACATAGAGGAGACAATCACCCAAGGTGAAGATGTCTGCACTAGATTAAGAGAAACCCATAGGCAAGGACTACAATTTTTCTAACACTGTCTCCCCAGCACCCGGCACAGGGAGGAGCCCAGTGAATACTTCCTGGGCTAATGAATGAATGAGTGGCTGGATGTCCTGCACAGCAGCTCCACGGCTGAAAGTCTCTGGATCCGTCCTCCCTTCCTCCTTTGCCTCCAGGGATGGGGAATGGGTCTGAAATTCAGATAGCCTTCCCCGCATGGCAAATGGGGTCCTCGGGGTAGGTAGGGGTGGAGGGCGCCTGGGGGACACTGTGACTGCTTGGGGGCAGCCCTGGCTTCTGGGAGCCCCGGGGTCTGGGCGGCGGGCCTCACCCTCTTCTCGTGGTTGGGGATGATGCAGCGAACGAAGTTGGGCGTGGTGTTGCGCAGCGTGGTCATCAGCTTGCCCAGCTGCTCCTTGTATAGCTGTCCCACTGTACGGAACATGCCCTTCTTGGTCTTGGAGGCGCTGGGCAGTGAGCTCTCCGTCATCTTGGCCATCTGGTCCAGTCCCACGATGCGGTCCACTATGGGGCACAGTCAGGTGGCATCAGCCTCTGGCCCACCCACCCCTAACTAGGCCAGAGGCCCAGACCCTGCCCCACCCACCAACCTGCCCACTCCAATCTTTCCTTCCATCACCAATGCCTCCTTCAGCAGTCAGGGTTTCCAAGTACTGTCTATCTGGGAAATCCTGAGAGCACCTGAGTGGCAGGAAGAACAAATTCCCTGTGATGGAGTCACGCTGACCTAGGAGTCAAGCCTGCTCTTGCTGTCCACTCACCGACTAGCCTTGGCTTGGCACCATCCTGTGCCTCAGTCTCCCTTTCTACAAAACGGAGGTAATAAAACCATCTACCTTCTAGGGCAAGGATAAGAAAATAAGGCACAGAAGGCACTTATTCCCTGCCAGTCTCCAATCCTTCATCCACCAACAAATAGTTATTGAGGACCTGCTGTGCTCCAGGCCCTGGGGACACCGCCGTGACCAAAAAAAGACCCGGCCCCCTCACCCCACTTATATCACCGGGAAGAAGACAGACAGTGATCACATATGTTAAGTATAGAATATCTTGAGTAGTTAGGTGTGCTTAGAAAAATAAAAATAGGGTAAAGCAGAGAGACAGAGAGTGATGAGGGTGCTCTCTTAGATTAGGAGGTGGTGTGGTGGGATCTGCTAAATTGCATATTTGAACAGAAACCAGAAAGAAATGGGTGGGGAACAAGGTAGGTATCCACAGAAGAAATATTCTGAGGCAGAAGATACAGCACTCTCTCCAAGATAGAAGCCTGGCACACCAGTAAGTGCTCAACAAAAAGTAGGTATTATTATTATTATTTTATTGAGACAGAGTTTCACTCTTGTTGGCCAGGCTGGAGTGCAATGGGCACGATCTCGGCTCACTGCAAGCGCCGCCTCCCAGGTTCCAGCAATTCTCCTGCCTCAGCCTCCTGAGTTGCTGGGATTACAGGCATGCGCCACCACGCCTGGCTCATTTTTTTGTATTTTTAGTAGAGACGGAGTTTCTCCATGTTGGTCAGGCTGGTCTCAAACTCCCGACCTCAGTGATTCCCCCGCCTCGGCCTCCCAAAGTGCTGGGATTACAGGCGTGAGCCACTGCGCCCAGCCATCGTCATTATCATCATCGCCACCAATGTTCTTTTTCTACCAGCCCAACAGATCCCGCACATGCCAAGCCCAACCCACAGGCTGTGGACAGCACCATTTCTTCATTTCTTCATCTTGGACTCAGTTAGATTCCATGTAACAATCTCTTTTTTTTTTTTTGAGACAAGATCTCACTCTGTTGCCCAGCTGGAGTGCAGTGGCTCGATCTCAGCTCACTGCAACCTTCACCACCCAGGTTCAGGTGGTTCTCCTGCCTTAGCCTCCTGAGTAGCTGGGATTACAGGCACCCACCAGCACGCCTGGCTAATTTTTTTTTTGTTTTTATTTATTTATTTATTTTTTTAGTTTTATTTTTTCAAGACAGAGTCTTGCTCTTTTGCCCAGGCTGAAGTCCAGTGGCGCAATCTCAGCTCACTGCAACCTGCGCCTCCTGAGTTCAGGCAATTCTCCTGACTCAGCCTCCTCAGTAGTTGGGATTACAGGTGCCCACCACTACGCCCAGTTAGTTTTATGTATTTTTAGTAGAGACAGGGTTTCACCACGTTGGCCAGACTGGTCTCCAACTCTTGACCTCAAGTGATCCTCCCGCCTCGGCCTCCCAAAGTGCTGGACTTACAGGTGTGAGCCACTGTGTGCAGCCTTATGCAACAATCTCTCTGCTTGTCTTTGAGAGTCTTATCTCTCCCGCAAGACTGTGGGCCCCACAGGGGAGGGACTGCAGGCTTCATCAGGTTTCCTGGGGTGACACAGACCCAGGGTGCGATGCTGTTCCCTAGGTCCAGAGCCTGGCATATGCTTGGGGCACAGCTGGGCCCTCCTGGAGCCTTTTTTAGATTAAAACAAGGGAAGATCAGTCCTGTAAGCCTCAGGGCCATGGGCCCTGTGCCAAGAACAAAACCTGCTGTGGACGCTGACAGCCAGGGACAAACAGCAAACCCCCTCCCCTCATCATCACTCCAGCAGCTCTTCCCAGGGATCATCTTCTCACTGGTTCTCAAAGGGAGCCGGAGTGTGGTCCCCAGACCAGCAGCATCACCTGGGATGAACGTTTTCAGGCCCGCCCCATCCCTGGCCCCAGACCTGCAGAATCAGATCTTAGGGTAGGCCCAGCCATCTGAGTTTTTAAAAGCCCTCCAAAGAGGCCCAGGTGTGGTGGCTCATGCCTGTAATCCCAGCACTTTGGGAGGCTGAGGCAGGCAGATCACCTGAGGTGAGGAGTTCGAGACCAGCTTGGGCAACACGGGGGAACCCCGTCTCTACTAAAAATACAAAAATTAGCCAGGCATGGTGGCTTGTGCCTGTAATCCTAGCTACTCGGGGGACTGAGGCAGGAGAATTACTGGAACCCAGGAGGTGGACGCTGCAATGAGCCAAGATCGCACTAATGCACTCCAGCCTGGGTGACAGAGCAAGACTCTGTCCCTAAATAAATAAATAAAGCCTTCCAAGGGGTCGTGATGCCTGCTTGAGTTTGAGCACCACTGGTCTAATTAACCCTCACAATACCCCTAGTAGAGGTGGCAACTATTATTGTGTTTCCTGGTTTTACTAATGAGGGCAATGAAGCTTAATGACACTGAGTGACTCATCCAAGACCACAGAGCTAGGAGGTGGCAGAGACAAGATGCAGCCAAGTCCTTCTGACTGGACAGGGCAGTCTAACTCCCCCTGCCTGGCGTGCTGTTTCTCCCGTCTATCGCCTGAGCCCTGACCTCAGGACCTCATCCCCTGGGGACATGGAGGATTGAGGCGCTCAGGGACGCCCATTCAGGAAGAGATTATTTCAACAAGACATCACTCACCAGCACACGCCAATGCTCTTCCTTCCCCTGCCCCCATGCAAAGGCCTCCCCTCCTGGGGCAGGTGTGGGAGTCGGGGGACTTGGGTGTTCAATTCTCCAGCTCAAAGCAGAACATGGACCTGAGCCCAGAAGGCCTTACCGTCCTTCCACAGGTCGGCCACAAACTTGTCAGAGGAGGCATTGAGCAGGGAAGTCACGTTGTCGTTCAGGGGGTCCATGTTCTTGGTCAGCCAGGCACTCGCGTTGTAGTCCACCTGCCAAGGACACCCTGCTGGTCAGAACCCCTGGGAAACTAGAAACTTAGAAACCAAGGCCAAGACCCCAGCCTTCCCATTGTCCTTCCAGATCTTCTGAGGTCAGAGAGGAAATGACGTTTATGACCACCATGATGGGACTCCGCAAACACCAGTGAAGAGACCAACAGCCCAGGGACCTGTGCCCACATAGTAGGACACCAGCCAACGATAGCCATTGCTGGGAAAGCCTAGTTTCCATTCCATATTCTCCTACTAACGCAGCTGTGGTAGCCTCCCTCCTCCTAAGCCAACACAGTGCCTGTGAGTTATACAAGATTAAGAGATTTCATGATGGCAGATGCCCTCCAGCTGACATGCAAAATTCCCCCCTCATCATCTTCCTGGTTTAGAAATTAAGCACAGCGGCCAAGCGTGCTGGCTCACGCCGGTAATCCCAGCACTTTGGGAGGCCAAGGTGGGTGGATCATTTGAGGTCAGGCGTTCGAGACCAACCTGACCAACATGGTGAAACCCCATCTCTACTAAAAAGACAAAAAAAATTAGCCAGGCATGGTGGTGCACGCCTGTAATCCCAGCTACTCGGGAGGCTGAGGCAGGAGAATCACTTCAACCTGGGACGTGGAGTTTGCAGTGAGCTGAGATTGCGCCACTGGACTCCAGCGCGGGTGACAGAGTGAGACTCTGTCTCAAAATTAATTAATTAATTAATTAAGCATGGCATCCTGTTTTCTACTCTCTAATGAGCATAATTTGTAACTCAGAGATCCTGATACATGGATATACAGAAAAAGGACATACAGGCTTTTTACATTCCTGATTCAAACGCTGACATGCCCAAAGCCCTAATTTTTATTGTGGTAAATATTAAATGAAAGGAACTGATAATACAACTTTGCTGGGTTATTATGGGATGTGGGTTATCAGGATAATAGCTAGGCTTGATCTGAGAGAAGACTGAAAACAAATCCACTGAAAAAAAATCCACTGATGAAGTAGGGAAAAGAAAAGTATTGTCTCTATATGCTTCAAGGAACATATACTCCCTTGAATATAGGCTAGGAGTTGGGAAACTTTTGGTGAAGGCCCAGATAGTAGACATTTTTGGCTTGGCAAGTCATACAGTGTTTTGTGTTCTTTTTGTTTTGTTTTGTTTTTGAGACAGAGTCATTCTCCGTTGCCCAGTCTGGAGGGCAGTGGTGTGATCTCAGCTCACTGCAACCTCCACCTTCCTGGGTCAAGCAGTTTTCTTGCCTCAGCCTCCTGGGTAGCTGAGATTACAGGTGTGTGCCACCACGCCTGGCTTTTTTTTTTTTTTTTCTTTTGTATTTTTAGCAGAGATGGGGTTTCACCATGCTGGCCAGGGTGGTCTCAAACTGCTGACCTCAAGTGATCCACCTGCCCTGGTGCTGGGATTACAGGCGTGAGCCACCACGCCCGGCCAAGTCATACAGTCTTTGTTGCAGCTACTCAACTCTGGTGCTATATTACAAAAGCAGCCAGCCATAGACACTATGTATACAAACGGGCATGGCTGTGTTCCAATAAAACTTTATTTACAATAACAAGCTGTGGGCCAGATTGGATTCTATTGCCACCCCCTGGTAGAGAGTCTTGCCTGTTCCCATGATGCAGTGGGGGTACTGATGAGTCAATAGAATACTACAATTCTGCAAGCCAGACTAAGCTATGTCCTTTGTACATTATCCAGGACCCTTGAGAGCCATAGGGCAAGGGCCTATACAGTAACAGCCAAGGCATGTTGATGATGATGATGATGATGATGATGAAGAATACAACTATCATAGATTTCCTGGCCAGAGCTGGCTGGCAATAGCAAACCCAAGGCCGTGACATGGGAGATTTTTGTTGAAGCCAGGTGTGGATGTATTAGTCATCCCATTCCAGTTGGCCCCACCTGTTGGGTATAACTTGTAGCAGGAAGGATTTAGAGTCTATACAAGAAAAGCAGGCTGAGGCCAGGTGCAGTGGCTTGTGCTCGTAATCCCAGCACTTCAGGAAGCTGAGGCCGGGGGATCACTTGAGCCCAGGAGTTCAAGACCAGCCTGGGCAACATAGCAAGACCCCATCTCTATACATAATTTAAAAATTTAGCTGGGCGTCCAGGCACACTGGCTCTTGCCTGTAATCCCAGGACTTTGGGAGGCCGAGGTGGGTGGATCACCTGAGTCAGGAGTTTGAGACCAGGCTGGCCAATATGGTGAAACCCTGTCTCTACTAAAAATACAAAAATTAGCTGGCTGTGGTGGTAGGTGCCTGTAATCCCAGCTATTTGGGAGGCTTAGGCAGGAGAATCTCTTGAACTCGGAGGTGGAGGTTGCAGTTAGCGGAGATCACACCATTGCACACCAGCCTGGATGACAAGAGCAGAACTCCATCTCAAAAAAAAAAAAAAAAAAAAAAAAAAAAAAAAAAATTTAACTGAGCATGGTGGTGTACACCTGTAGTCCCAGCTACTTGGGAGGCTGAGGCAGGAGGATTGTGTGAGCCCAGGAGGTTGAGGCTGTAGTGAGCTATGATCACACCATTGCACTCCAGCCTGAGTGACAAAGCGAGACCCTGTCTCCGACAAAAACAGAAAGAAAGAACTGCCTGGACATCACGGTTGGAAAACATGAGAGTGGCTGTAGCTGATGCCTTACAGATGCATAGACAAATTACGAATAGGACTTGGTTGGGATTTGCTTAGTAGCAGATGCCTTTGCAGTTTCCAGGCAGCCCAAGGTTCTGCCACTCTCAGACTATCTCTGCGCTGAGAAGCCACTGGGACTCCCCTGAGACAGAGTCCCCTGGGCCCTGTGGCTGGTACCTTCCCAGCATAATGGATGATGGAGAACTCAGTCTTGTCTTTGAGCTGCTTGGGCTTCTGGAACTTGGGGTGGCTGCCCTGCTCCGTGCACAGCTTCTCCACGAAAGACTTGTCCGTGGCTTTGGGGAACCAGCACTCCTCGTCCAGCAGGGCCAGCACACCTGGGGGGTTGTTCTGTGGGAGACAAGTAGGGCTTAAATCAGAGAGGACACCCAACTTTGGGCATTCCATGAAGAGCTGGCCAACTGTACACAACGCATGGGCATCCACCAAGATCTGATACTGTATTTGCTCACATGTAAAGATGAGTTTATGACCCCCCCATGCTTCCAAATCCATCCTCAAATTACCCTGTGCCCAATGGACCAGTGTCAGGGAGGGAAGGCAGAACATGTTTACTGCCGCCCCCTAGTGGGCAACACGCAGACAACATCATGAAGAGTTCGTAATTCTTGCAAATGAATTTGTTGCTTGACTTGAATTCACCTAGGGTTCCTGTTAGAAAAGTTTTTTTTTTTGGAGACAGGGTCTCACTCTGTCATCCAGGCTGGAATGCAGTGGTGCAGTCTCGGCTCACGGCAACCTCTGCCTCCAGGGCTCAAGCAATCCTCCCACCTCAGCCTCCCAAATAGCTGGGACCACAGGCATGCACCACCAGGCCCAGCTAATTAGTAGAAACCCTGTCTCTACTAAAAATACAAAAGTTCGCTGGGCGTGGTGGTGCATGCCTGTGGTCTCAGCTACTTGGGAGGCTGAGGCAGGAGAATCACTTGAGCCGAGGAGGTGGAGATTGTGCGACTGAACTCCAGCCTGGGCAACAGAGTCAGACCATGTCATAGAGAAGAAAGAAAGAAAGAAAGAGAGAAAGAGAGAAAGAGAGAGAGAAAGAAAGAGAGAAGAAAGAGAGAAAGAGAGAAAGAAAGAGAGAGAGAAAGAGAAAGAGAGAGAGAGAAAGAGAGAAAGAGAAAGAGAGAGAGAAAGAGAGAAA